ATACTGCAAAAGTACCGACGATTCTTTACCTTGAGTTCATAGCTCAAAGTTTATCAATTTATACATACTGTGTAGTGTGGGGCTGAAATCACTGGCGGTGATATTAGCGTACATTCTATTCAAACTAAGGGGTTTTGGGTGGGAAACGCATACGATTTCCCTTTGTATGTACATGTACATGTAGATAGAAGTACAAAATGTATGTGGTATGTATGACAAATAATGTACTGTCCCCCCCCCCCCCCCCCCCGGTATACTCCATATGCGTGCATCGCTATCGCTCGGCATCCTAACGTGTATATCGGGCTCGTGAACACAGTGTATTATTTAGTACAGATAGGATCTTGCAGAGTCTAATTTAAAGGGCCCATCAATCACCAGTATTTCAAAAAAGCTAAACTTATTTTCAAAAATTATCCAGGTGTCATCTTACAACTGGTGATATTTTAAACATTTCCGTTATGTAGATATTTTAAAGATTCGACCCGTAACAGCAGTATTGCTTACCACTAAATGCTTTTCCTTTATTTGTGTGTTTAGGACATGGCCACAGCATTAATACTTGGTCTCCGCTGCTGCATTTTAGCCTGCATTGCTGTAGGCATGCTTTTGGCTGAGCACCTACAGAATGCTGTGAATGAGACATGGGCGTGGCTTCTTCAGCAGTGGTGGTTCAACAGCGTCTACTTCGAAACCGTGTGGGCGCCAGTGTGTTTCACAGTACTGCTCGTTCCCATGTACAGACTGATTGACTCGATACCCCTTTTCGATCGGTACAAGATCGACAAGAAGCATCGTTTTATACCATTTACTGCCCTGGAGATGTTGAAGACTGGTGTGTTTTATATGGCCCCTCTTGCTTTGTTGGACACATTCATGGTGAAGCACTATAAGGGCTGTGGCATTGATCCGATGGTTTGGAAGATAAAACGACAGACATGGGTACAGACCACCCGAGCTCTCCCAGCTGAACCACCCTCCGTGGCCCTTATCCCCATCCACATCGTATGTGCTCTGGTAGTCTTTGATATGTTCTTTTTCTTGGTTCACTACTCACTCCACAAGAACGCCTGGCTCTACAAAACGTTCCACGCGCTACACCACGACCATGCAACCGTCGACATTCACGTGACCAACCAGCTGACCGTCGTGGAGAGAATTGTGCTCATTTTATCAGCAAACGAAGGGCTTAAGATCGTGAACAGCCATCCTCTCACCAGAGCCATCTACGTCCCAATCTTCTTGTGGTTGTTAATGGAAAACCATTGCGTGTATGATTGGCCATGGGGATTGGACAAGCTAGTTCCCTTTGGACTGATGGGTGGGCCGGCTCGGCACTTTGCTCACCATGTGCAGGGTAGCGGCAATTACGCACCCTTCTTCACATACCTCGACAAACTGGTGAAAAGGACGAACGGGCACTCGAGAAAGATTGGTTCGTAGCCCTACGTACAGATAATGTACACTAGGAAAACATTGGACGGGGCAGCATTTGCGTTTTTTTTCAGACTTTTTTGCAAAAAGTGAGAATCTTGAAACGCTAAAGAATAAAAAAATATTATGTTTGTCATTTTTGTTGACAGTCACAAATGTGCATGCAGTGGTTTTGGTGGAACTGTTAAAAAATCAAAAAGATTAATTCTCTTATGAAATCGGTATACTCGCACTGTTGTCGCAATTAACCTTACGTGTATAATTAATAAACACCTCACGCATCAGCTTTACAACTTGTTTTTCACTAGCGGTAAAATGCATTTAAACCAGGTGTTTGCACTTATGATTTTAAACGTGAAACAACAAACGAGGGATGCTTGGATGCGTTGAAATTTCTGCGAGCGTGCTTGTTGTATATTTTTGATCACATAATTTTGTAAACATACGGTATGGAATCTGGGATAAACCATGACGTAACGTATCACGTATGCATAATTTAAAAACCCTTAACGGTTGAAGAGTAGGTAGAAATTGATGATTCGGACTTTGTTTAAAAGATGGTTTGGGATGACGTCACATTGAGCTCATTGTGTCAAGTCGTTTACCTATGACGTAAAAGCTACGTAGATTCACCTAGAGTTTACACTTGTGGCAACAACTTGACAGAAATGGGTCGTATTGCCTGATATTTGACATAATGGATTTTAAATTACTTTGTCTTTTCATCATTGCCATCCAGAATTGTATCAACGGGTAAGTGTTGCCTTTAAAGAATAATTTAATCAGGCTTGACGTGTGCTTGTCTTCTTATCTATATACTTACACAAAATTAAGGACTTTACCAAACGAAAAGATTGATTTGATGAGGAAAGGTGGATTTGTTGCCCAGTTTTTATTATATATACGTATAATGAGTGTACTTCCAAATGAATCCGTGTGAAAGTAGTCGCGTAATATTGAACAGAAAATTTTGCGAGGAAATTTTCGGGTCGATTTCACCTTGCATTTTCCGTAAAAGAAACGGAAACAATAAACAAGATGGATGCATTCACTTAATGTGAGTTTGTGAGCCATGTACCATGCATGATGTGAATGCCTTCAAATCTGACATTGTGCTGCGTTTTAAAACTTCGTTATTTTTAGCCCTGCTTTGGAACAAGGATACATTTCATCCTCTGGCGGTCAGAAACGCGTTTCAAGCAATAAAATCGGAGACGGGAAGACAACAAAATGGACCAGAATCCGTACCGTGTGCAATAACTGCGAAGAGACTCCCGATCTAGCTACTATACCAATAAATGTCTTTGACTATTTTGACCGTAAGTTTTTCAAAATATCTTTATTATTTTCATTTATTTATGTTTGAAGGGTGCCAGCACGCTATTTATAAAAATTCTAAAAAATAAAACCCCGAAAAACGAAGAGACATTTGCTAAGTAATGGACCTTTATTCAGTGCCAATTTCCATTCCCATTATAGTTTTCAAATTGCTTGATATGGATGTTGATACGCACCATCATTCCTGTTTTCAACGGAGCAGTCAAACGGGTCTTTAGGTCGTAGAATAAATTCCTCTTTCAAACCGAAGCCATTTGTCAGATTTCTGACGCAGGTTCTGTAGGTTGCAAGTTTGTTACTAGATACACTTTTTTGAAATTATATTTTAGCATTCTGCGCCACTGACTGGAGAAAATATATACATATAAATGAAGCATATGCGCTGCCCCCTGAGAGTTGGAAGGAATTTATGGCAGACTGCCTCATGCTGTTTACATGGTTGCTGAACGAATATTACGACTGTATCCTGATACTCGGAATCGCCTTTTTCATCAAGATGATCCCCGAAAGAAGCTATCTTAACAACTGGGAGGATATTAAGATGATGGGTTTAATGAGTAAGTCAGATATACTATCATATATATAACGAATGAAAAATATAACATATAATATTGATAACATTGCCTTCCGTGTCAACGTGGGATAAAGGTCCACTCGGAAAGGAAATCATTCAAACTTCAAACCTAGTGTTGCTTCTGTTGTGTTAGAATATGAAAATGCTGTTTTTATTTCTAAAGCTGTATCTTAATTTTTTTCTTTGTGTTAGTTTGCACCTTCCTGTTCTTCGACGCGTTATTTAAAGCCATCACCCCCCACATCAAGGTGTTGATGGCCTTCGCGTTGGAGCCGTATTCTGCGACCCTTGCGTGCTTGCTGTATGCCAGTATTACAGGCGCCACCATTGCTTTCATGTTTAGAATGGCAGTCAGCTCAACAAATGACAAACTGAGATTAAGTGAGTAGAAATATCCTTGCTCGATTGGGTTTTATTTGGAAGTCAAAACGCGCTATCATTTTGAATAAATGTATTCGTTTAAATATTTGGAGTGAAGGCAATGGAATGCCAAATTTACAAGCATGTCAGATTGACTTCAGCTAGCACGTCTTTTAATTTAACGTGAACATACTTCTTATAATATATGGCACACTTCCATTGCTTTCAGCAAATGTCAGCGGACCAAACATTAACAGATGTTCCGCCGCAGTGGCCGCACTGTGCCCAGACGAGACTAATCGCCAAAAACCACGGCGCCGTGAAATCGGTGTACAACGGTTTCCAAAACCGACACCAAAACGCCATTCAAGACCATCGCCGACGGTAGTGGCTGCAAAGTGGAATTCACCTAACCCTTTTGGACCATCTGATGGTTCAGCATCTGAAGATAGGGGAATCAACATCTTTACCAACAATGACTGTCCGAATCCCGGCCATTTATCTCGCTCTTTTTCTGCCGATATACTTGGCTCTAGGGTTCGGGTTAAACTACGACAAGAAAATCCCCTTTGCTGCCAAAATCTACGTTATTGACTTTTTAGAATATCTGCTGGTTGCCGACAACAAGAATCTAGGGGCTAAAAAAAGAACATTCAAAAGACTTTTGTAAAAAGGGATAATTCCACCCCTCTCATATTTGAAATAAAAACAGAAAACCAATTACTAAGTACATGTATAGCATAGTAATGTAAATGTATGTCCTCATTGCCTATTTTCGAATTTTCTCTAATGCGCAATGCACAAAAGTAATGGGTGAATCAAATCCAAGGCTTTGCCTCATGCAGTTATATAAAGATTCAAATTTCTGTGCAAATAAAAGTGCAGTCCTAATTTTTTTCCGAACAACAGTGAAACCATGAATATAGGCAAACTTAAACCAATTTAATCAGATATTGGAGATGACTTATTATTTTCATTAATTAATCTCGAACTTTATAAGGTTAATTAAGATATATCGGTAGTATATTAACATTCACAGTGTTAAAGAAATTGCATCTGAACAAAAACGATGAGCAATACAATAGTTAAGATATAATTATGACTTCCTCTTTTAAGTGTCTTGTCCCCTCCCTTCCCCCCC